GAGCTGAGGATGTAAATATTGCAGGGCTTGGGGCATGATTGGAGGTGAGAGGATCAGACTTCTGGTTTCCAGTTCTGCTTGTAAGAGGCTTGGAAGACGCCACTTTGTCCTAACAACAAATAAACAACTGGACAGACTAAAAAAATCAACAACCCTTCTTAGATTCACAGAGAAGTGAGGTAACAGGGAAAACCACTGTCACCAAGACTGGAGGGACAGACAGATGAACACAGGGAGTCTTGGCTTACTGGAGTAGAGACACATAAAGGGAAGCAAACCATGGTGGGAACTAATGTTGGGGCAGGACGTCGTGAACATTAAATGACAAATTGCTGGAGGCTCATTGGGAATGAGGCTGAGAGTTAAAAATTCCAGGGGGCCCAGTCTTAGGGGGCCCTCCACACTTTTGTGAGATTTACTTCCAGGAGCTGGACCAGGTTTTCAGGAACTATTAGAGAAAAATCCCCTCGTGTTTCTGTCAGAGGGAAAGGAAAAAAAAATTTTCAAAATATGCCAGAGCACTCTGTTGTTTTTCTCCAAGATTTTTGTTTGTTTTAATTCCACTTAGTTCATATACAGTGTATTATTAGTTTCAGGTATAGAATTTAGTAATTCAACACTTACATACAACACCTGGTGCTCATCACAAGTGCCCTCCTCTATTCTTAACAGGGCCTGCCTGCAGGAGAAACTAGTTAACCAGAGCCTAATCTGCTGGGGTATTATTAGAACCTAACTGGCCTGGGGGGTAGGAAGATACCCAACTCTAGCCTTCCACATGGGAGAAGGGAAATACATACCCAGCTCTAGGCTACCTGTCCCACCTAAGGGAAGAGAAAAAAACTGAGAAACACTTGGGCGTTCACAGTCCAGAGGCAAAGACGCACTAACAGACCAAGACCTGCTCATAGGATTGTGGAACACTTCTCTCCCACCACACCTCACCACCGCATTACAGGTGGCCCATTTATAGCAGTTCCTTTTATCTGGTACATCATGTCTGGCTATCAAGAAAAAAATTATAAAGCATACTAAAAAAAGTCAAAAAACACAACTTGAAGAGACAGAGGAAGCATCAGAACCAGACACGGCAGGGATGTTGGAATTATCAGACTGAGGATTTTAAACAACTTTGATTGATATGCTAACCGCTTTAATGGATAAAGTAGACAACATGCAAAAACAGATGGACAATATAAGCAGAGAGATGGAAAGTCTAGGAAAGAAAAAGAAGGTATCTAGAGATCAGAAACACTGTAACAGAAATGAATGCCTTTGATGGACTTATTAGTAGACTGGACATGACTAAAGAAAGAATCTCTGAGCTTGAGAATATATCAATAGAAACCTCCAAAACTGAAAAGCAAAAACAAAGAACACCGAACAAAAAGCTGAAACAGAATATGCAAGGACTGGAGGACAGCTACGGAAGGCATAACATGCAAGGCATTGTAATACCACAAGGAGAAGAGAAAAGAAGGAAACACGGGCATCGCAGTGAGGAGAAGCAAGGAATCAAGGATTATATTGTCCTTGTTTTGGACTTTGATGCCTGAGAGGTGGCCCTGAATCCAAATTTTAACCTAGATGAACTTCACTGCCAAGTCAGTGTTTCCCCTTCTCTTTCCTCCTGTCTCAACTGTGACTTGGTGCTGATCAAGTCCTTCTTTACGTAGAGATATATCTAAGAAAGCCCATGAACTCGTGTAAGTTTTGTGTGTATGTGTGCATATTCATTTTTTAATAGAAGATACATGGCCTCCATGTGATTGTCAGTTTAAAAATCACTGAGCTAAGACATTTAGCTTCACGACTTGGTAGCTGATGTTTATTCAGTTTTGTTCTAGAGATTAAATGCCCTTTCGGGAGTGTGTTTTAAAAGCATTCTAAATGGTTCTGCTTCAGGTAGTGCAGTAGGTTAAAAATTCTTGAAGATCTTCCTGCCATGAAACATAGAAGTGTTAGATAAATCATAGCAAAAATATTTTCCGATTCTTTGCTGAACTCTAGGGAATGTGAGAGAAGTCACCGCTCCTCACCCACCCCTGAACCATGAAGCAAGAACACAAAGCCTTCTGGAAAAACAAAACAAAACAAAAAACAGGAGAATAAGTGAAGTCTAGGGGGTTCTGGAGGCAAATGTTGACTGGGGGAACCTATGGCTTTAGAGGGTAATGATTGCCTAGGGCCTGGGGTGGGCAGAAGCCGAGACCAGGTTTGTGTACACTGAGGACAAATGGGGGACTAAATGTGAGACTGCATTCATCCAGGTGCTACACCTTTAGGGAAGGTTTGTTCTAGGAAAATCCCTGCTGGCTAGGAAACCTTTAAATAAACCTCTCCACCTCTCCAAAAAGCAGGCGGAAAAATAATAGTAATAACAATATTGGTATTAATAATAATGGTAATAGTCTCTGATAATCTGAGGCCATAATTGTCTCATATGAGTTTGAGATTTGAATACTCACTGTACAATCAGAGAAATCCTCAAATGGGAAATTAAATTAAAGCCAAACCAGGTTGATAGCTGGTAGGTGTAGGAGTAGGAGCTAGTAGGAGCTGATACAGACCTTATCTGGAGAAAGGCATCCTCAAGCCAGCTCCTTCAGGATTCCCAGTGATTAATATTTGCCAAATATGAGTTCACCATAAACAAGGTAGCGTAAACAAGATCAGCAGAGACAGTAACCAGATTCAGGTGCTCAAGGACTAAGAAACAAAATACCTATGTATTAAATGGTTATATTATTAAATAATATTATTAATGATGGAATTAAAAGAAGCAAAGACCAAGTAACTAGGGAATTAAAGCTACATGAAAATCTGTCTCAAAAACCATAAATTGGCAAAAATGAAACAGATTGACAATACCAAGTGCAGTATGTGGAAGAGCTAGAACTTTCCTTATTGCTGGGGGAAGGAGGCATATAAACTGATATAATTGCTGTTACCAATTGTCAAGTTGAAGAATGTACACTCTCTGACTCAACAGTAACACTTTAGTGATATGCCCCACACATACACTTGAACATGCCCGAGAGACATGTCCAAGCATGAAGTCTGCAGAGCAGCAGGGCTGGTGATGGCAAAACAGGCAAAATATTTGGAAAACAATATGCACTGACAAGCAAAAATAAATTATGATGTACCGTACAATAGTAGTCTATACAGCTGTGACAATGAACTACAGCTGCACATGTGTAAAACTCAAATACGAGGAACCTCAGAAACAATGTAATGTGACAACAGACAAATATATTCACTTTGGTGACATATTTATAAAGTTTAAGTGCTTAGAAAACCCAACAGTATAAAAAATATAAAAATAAATAAAATATAAAATATAAAAATAAACAAAACATACAAAATTATAAAAGAAATAGCAAGCAAAATATATTTATAATATTTATAAAATAAAAGCAAGAGAATTACAATATGAAATTTTAAAATGTGGGAGAGGGTCAGAGAACATGAATACAGGGAATTCTAAGGTTACCAATCATGTTCTATTCCTCAAGCTGAGTGGAGGGCACACGGATGTTTATCTTAGCATTCTCTTTATTGTATATACTTTATTTTTATCTATAAAAATGTCATGACTTAAAAAATACTATGTCTGCATTTCTATCTGATTCATTTCTATTATTCTAATAACTTCTTGAGGAATGAAAAGTACTTGTTTATAAAAGAAGTAAGGCACTGACATAAAAGGAGACATATTTTACTGTTATTCTAATTTATTTATTTATTTATTTAAGTACTGTTGTCTTTTTATTGTGTGTTACTCTCAGAGATAGAAATTGTTTTGTAAAAAAAAGTGCTTATTGACTCTGAAGATCAACATAGAAAACCATGAATTAATTATTAATGCTCCTAAGTGTCCCCCCAAAACTAAAACATTTTAATGGGGTCATGCCGTGCATGTTTTTGATTAGACAATCTTATATAAGAAAAAGTTTAAATTTAAAAAATGCATCTGTGATTATTTCAGTTCCTTTACTTTTCCTTTGTTCCCATTCATGTTTTAAATAGAACCCAGAAGAATGCCAGTTATTCTGATACCTCTTGAGACACACTTCTAGTGGTATAGTTTTTTTTTTTTTTCAGTTCAGTGTGGGATTTTGAACTAGTAGCAAGAATCAGTCTACTTATGTGGAATCCATAGCAAACTCAAGTGATGTCAGATGTTGCAATTCATTCAGTTTAAGGATTTCCTTCATATTACGGAGTGAAGTGGGATGCACCTGTTTAGTCACAGACAGGAAGAAAACACCTCTCTACATCACTTCAGATGCAAACCTTACACAAGTGAGTTCTTGCTGAAGAGGAGGCTGGCTTTACGATAGGCCTGTTTTCTTCCTGTGGGGTTCACTCAGAGGGTTTTGACTTAATTTAACCTAGCAAAATGCATCCCCACGTTTCTTACACTACAACATTAAGTTCCTATTTTGCTTATGCGTGTTTCCCTCCCCCCCTTTTTTATGGCTGAAATAAGGGAAGGAGAATGTTTAGAATGAAGTTGATAAAACAAGGTAGAATAAAGTGAGTTTTGATATATGACAGTGCTCACAATGTAGATGACTATAGTGAAATTTAAAAAAAAATTAATTTAAATACACTTTAACAGAAATAATTTAAATAAAACACTTACCTAACATAGATTCAGTATTTGACAAATTCCTAATGTCTTTTACTTCTGTTTCTTGGCCTATAATGACTGTTATCAGAGTGTAGGCTTAAAATACAGCACTTCCTAAAAATTCTAGGGTTCTTATCAACAAACTGCTTGAGAAGGATTTGCTCTATTACATATCGCTCAGTTTAGGCCTGAAAGTTACAGTGTTTCATGCAGTAAGTTTCTTCCTTCTTATTCATTTTAACTATACAAATCATCTCATTTAAGTGTGTGGAATAACATTTATATACCATATGACTTTCCTCAAGCCTTCTCAATATACTAAAGCATGTGTTGATTTTCTCCCCACTCTGTGTTCCTCTAGGATAGTTTCCCAGCACGATTTGGAGGAATTCATTTTGTCAATCAACCATGGTATATCCATGCCCTGTACACCGTGATCCGGCCTTTCCTAAAGGAGAAGACTCGGAAAAGGGTATCTGTTTGTTTCTTTGTTTTTATACTCTTTCTCCTCCCACATTCAATGAATTATGCTACATAATGTGTATCTAATATTGGCTGTGGTCAAATGTGCCTCTACATTGCATATAAGTGTTCAACATACAAGACATTTAAAAATTCTTGAAGACCTTATGATTAATTCTGATCAATGTATGTATGAAAGAAATACTTAAAAGCCTGCTAGTCTACTTTCCCACGAATTGGGAGAACACTTCATTACATTCATTATATATTAAAGCCTCAGTTTAAAAGCAAAAAAAAAATTGTGCCATGTTGCTAGATTGTTATTAGTACACTTAATTTCAAGTAAGATCTAGAGAAAAGTTGTAACTTTATAAGCTGATATATGAAAGTTATTTCACAATATGTATCACATTGAATATAGTGAATTTTGTGGTATCTAATATAACTTTGTAGTGATTGTCATGATCAGTCACACATTTCAGAAAGAATGCTGATGTGTAGAAATATTAATATTTCTTTAAATGGTGAGTTACTTGAGTTCTAAGACCGATTTTCATCTAACAATGAGGATATTCAAAGTACATACAACAAAATAATCATTCATTTTTTTCTGTGAATAAGACAATTTATATAAAGTATTTAGCACAGTGCATGGTACATGGTAAATGCTGAACACATTTATCGTTATTATTAATAATATAGATTTTAAAATGCATTTTAATGCCCATTATTTCATTTTATCCTCCAAAAGACTCTGAAGCATAAATTTAGTAAGCCTTATCTCCTATTTCAGAGCTGAGAAAACTAAGTCTTAAGATGGTTAAGTAACTTGCTTACTCATTTACACAGCTGTAGAGTTGTAGAGCTAATATATGAATCCAAATATCTCCAGATTTAGAGCTATTTTTACCACCGTGCTGTGACCAATTTTCAGATGATTAGTTCCAGAGTAAAATATACTTTACTTCTAAATGTGTATTGAAGGTTATTTTCCATGTTTCTCAATGAATGAGAAAGCACTTCAGGTATTTCTGAGCCGTGTTGTAGAAACCTCATTGTGAGCATAGAGGACAGGTAATTGTTAAGTATGTGTTTGTATCAAACATTGAACAGAAGGTCTTCTGAATATGAATTTGTTGAAGATGTTCCAGTAGTATAGGAGGAAGCCTTCTGTAAACAATTACAATTTGTATCAGGAATTGTTTCTACCAGTGAGAATCAAATTAATTTACATGTTAGAATTCAGAAAAATGTATTGATGTGCTTCACAAATAACACTTTCAAATTTTGTTTTATGAAGAGGTGATCAGGTGATCCAAAACACCTGCTGGGGCTTTTAGTACATATTATACCAGTGAATGCTTCTGTAGTATTCACTCTAGGCCACATGCTGTTCTAAGTACTTTACATATGTTAACTCATTTAATCCTTACAAGGATGGCTCTAGCGGAAGCATTGTTATTTTCCTCCTTCTATAGATGGGAAAATGAGGCACAGAAGGTCAAGCAAATTGCTCTAAATCACAGCTAGGAGGTAGTAGAGCTGAATATGTGGGTTTATTGGGAAGACGGTTCCAGACAGAGGGCATAGCAAAGACAAAGGTCCTCAGGTTAGGGTTAGTTGGCAAACAGCAAGAAGGCGCAGAAAGCTGGAGCAGAATGAGCTACTGAGGAGGGTAGCAGACGACGGGATGGAAGGGAATATGGTATGCCACATCATAGGGGGTCTTGTATTCCATTGCAAGGGTCTGGGCTTTCAGTCAGAGTGAAATGAGAAATACTTGAAAGATTGAATACAGGGGTGATTTGTTCTGAGCACAATGTACTGCTCTGTTGAAAAAGACTAAGGAGGATCAAGTCTAACCCCAAGCTCCAGGTTTGGGGTTATTTGATTGAATTGAATAATTTTGACAATGCCTGGAAAAATTCATGGCTAACATTATTCTAGATGGAAGTGAGATATCTGAGCTTTACCATTTTAATTAAAACTATATGACTTGTAAATCTTTATAAGAGAAAACAGTTATAGGTTAAAACACTTCTGATTTCTACTTATATAATCAATATAACGTGCAAAGCTATTATATTTCTTTATGCGTATACCAAGTGATTCAGCATCATAATATTACTCAAACGCTGTATAACTTAGATGCTATAAATCTGTGCTCTGAAAAACTGGCAAAAGAAAACCCAAAGAATAATTGTGCATCTTTTGTCACAAAAAGAAAACTCCTGGTTCTTTGTTTTTTTTTAATTAAATGAAATCTGACTTTGAGTCTCCAACATACCGACCAATGGGAATAGCAACCCTAGGTGGTAGGGGTGTCCCTTCTCAAAATCTCATCAATATCTGGAATCTTTCATGTGGAACGGAATTTTCCATCCAGAATGGCTACTTCTGACATCCTCACTATTCAAGCCAGTATTAGTTCCTTGAATTAAGGTCTCCTTCTGCTCCTAAGTTGTCTGTGAAAAAGAAAAATAGCTTCTTCACTAAAGCTGGAACCCAATGCCTAGGATTCAACCTCCATGCTCTCTTCAGCTATTCCAGGGTTGTGGACTTGCCACTCCCAAGAGCTGACAGGAAACAGGCTTCCATACTGATTGGTGCAACTTTCTACCTGTTCCTCAGTATGGGGGACTCTCTCTTCTATTCCTTGCTAATTCCCAAACGTATTTCACTTTTCTCCCTTCCACTCAGGTCACCTACCATAACCACTTTAATGGCACAGTGTAGGGAGGTAAAGTAAAAGTATTATTTAGGCTAACTCTTAGAATAGTAAGGTACTCTGAGGCAAGGGAGCCCACAAGGACAAGATTTCTTGCATGAAATGGTGGAAGACAGAAGAAACATTCACTGCAAATGTCCTGAGACAAATGTGTGTATGGTGTGTTTCAGCAAGGAGGAAGTAGTAGATGTGTTCAAAGAAGGAGTTTATGGGGGCCCTTACAGGATTTACTCTAAGAGAAAGGAGAAGTCAGCGGGGAATTGTGAGCAGAATAACGTGATCTGACTAACGTTGTGACATGGTCATTCTGGCTGCTGTGTTGAGAACAGAGTGTAGGTGGCAAGAGTAAAAGAGGGGAGAGCAATTAGGAGGTTAGTGCAATAATGTAGTTTGAAGGATGATGGTAGTTTAACTTGGGGTTGTAGGGGCAGAATTGGTCAGATGTTCAGATTTGTGATGTATTTTGAATGAAGAACCAAAAGGATTTACTGACAACTTAGAGAGGAATTAAGGATGAGTCGACGGTTTTAGCCTGAGAAACTAGAAGCAGTCATACCACTAACTGACATTAAAAACAGGGTGGAGCTGATTTGGGGAAGAAAGCTGTGAGTTCAGTTTTGGACATAATAGGTTTGAGGTGCCCATTGACCTCTTAAGTGGAGATGTCAAGTGGAGAGGGGAAATAGCAATCTGAAGCTCAAAGGAATGGTCTGGATGCAATATATCTATGTTCAATGTGTGAACGATATTTAGGGCCCTAGACTGAATGAGATCACCAAGGAGTAAGTATACTTAGAGAAGAGAATCAATCCAAGAACTGAAGCCTGGAGCTCTGTGACATTAAGATGTTGGGGTGATGGGGAATAATCAAAAGAGACTGAAAAGAAGCATCTGTCAAAGTAGGAGAAAATCAAGAGATGCTGGGAATAAATGTTGCAATGACGAGAGTCATTTATATCCAATGCTACTGAGAGTTGAAGAAAAATAAGGGCTGAGAATTGGACATTGAGTTTAGCAATGAGAAGGAGCCTGAAGAGAACCATCTTCATGCGATAGTGGGAAGCAAAGCCTGGATTTGTCCCTATGCTTTGCCTCTGAGCCTAGTACAATGGAAAGATAAACTCTACAAAGGCCAACCTCTCCACCTGTGCACTAGAAGCCATCCTCTCTCCTCTACTCAGTTATATTGCTCAAGCACTTCTCTTCTGCCTTTCTCACATCATCAAATTTCCTCTGTCTGGGAGATCTTTCCCATCAGAGGACAAACAACCCACCTCTCTTCCCATCCCCCAGGAAAAATGGGACTAGAGAATTTGGACAGTGAAACAACTCCTTTGATGAGTTTTGTAACAAAGGGAAGGGGAGAAATAGGTTAATAACTGGAAGTAGAAGTCTGGCCAAGAGAGGTTTTGTGCCTCTGTTTGAGAGGGGATGGACTTTATAGAGTTTATCTTTCCATTGTACTAGGTTCAGAGGCAAAGTATAGGGACACAGATGCTGGTGGGTGGGTCTCATCTGGTTGCCCTATTTTTTCAGTGAAAGAGGAAATAAGGCCAAAGCTGAAAGTGATGTTGAGGGAGGATGTAACAGAATGTTAGCAAAGAGAGAGGAAGTAGTGTGCTAGGATTTCATTGACTTCTCTAAGGATTTATTAAGATAACTCATGCATGACTTGAAGAGATTTCTTACATGAAGAAACATCTAATGAAATAAGATTGTATAACTAATAAAATAAGAGTTTCAGGTGCTAGAACTTAACTCCCCCCCCCAAATTATTTTGATTTCTTATGAGAAGAACCTAAGTGTGTGTGTGTGTGTGTGTGTGTGTGTGTGGTAGGGGGGCTGTTGTGCTCTGCAAAGAGGAGTTGGAAGGTGTAAAGTTTGCAATTAACCTAATGTGCTTTGGAGCAGATGTCATCTTCCACCTTTGTAGGCTCCGTATCAAGTACTTCAGGCAGCCGTTTGCTCTGCCTATTTTGGCCAGTGACCTGCTCTCATCTGTTTTTACTGGTCCATAATCTGTTGAAATTACTTGTTGATTTATAATTCTCATCCCCATCATTTTGTTGGATGTTGTAGACTAGTTTTTCTTTGTTTTCCAATATATTTACTTCAGTGGACTCTAAAATTACAGAAAGCAAAGGTAATTATGTTAGCCTGTTCATCATAAACCTGAAGTATGAGTCACTTAGAAACCATGAGTGACTATTTCTAAGTTACTTATAAACTATAATCCTTAAACAAATATTATATAAATTATATGAGATGACACGAATGCTTTTTCAGAGAAGACCGATCTACAGTTTTGAGATTGAAATGAAAGAAAAGAGGTAGTAATTTATGGAGAAACAAATCTTGAATATGTACCTTGAGTAATTTTTCGGCTTAAAGATTTATTTACTGTGAATTGGTAAGACTGATGAATCACAGACCTGTACCGCTGAAAAAAACAATACATTATATGTTAATAAAAAAGTAAGAAAAAAAGATTTATTTATTTATGAGAGAGAAAGAGAAAGAGAGAGAGAGAGAGCAGGGGGAGAGGCAGAGGGAGATGGAGAGAGTGAATGCCAAGCAGACTCCAGGCTGAGCGAGGACCCCGATGTGTGGCTCAACCACACAACCCTGAGATCACGACCTGAGCCAAAACCAAAGGTCCAACGCTCAACCGACTGAGCTACCCAGGTGCCCCAATAATTTTTTAGTTTAAAAAAAAAGCTCGGGCGCCTGGGTGGCTCAGTCGTTGGGCGTCTGCCTTCGGCTCAGGTCATGATCCCAGGGTCCTGGGATCGAGTCCCACATCGGGCTCCCTGCTCCGCGGGAAGCCTGCTTCTCCCTCTCCCACTCCCCCTGCTTGTGTTCCTGCTCTCGCTGTCTCTGTCAAATAAATAAATAAAATCTTTAAAAAAAAAAAAAAAGCTCTAGGTAATACCAATTATTAATGTATACATACAGCTTTACATTTTAACTCCATTATTGCATTTTTATTTGAACAATAAGCATGGAAACCTCTAGTAGAGAAGATGCTGGCAACATTATAGAATATAAGTCCTTTGGGATGTGAACCTTCACTCATCCTTTCATTATGATGATGCTAATCTACTTTTATTTACATCACACACTTTGCATTACGAAGCAGTAATTTAGTGGTTACAGTATTCTTATTTTTATTGATGATAAAAGAGAAAGCCATACTGGTAACAGCTTTTGGGCTTAATAACTTGGATGGGCTCTATAGTTGATGAGTCCCTTATGAGAATGGTCTATTTTAACAGCATTCGTTATGCACATCATTAGCTTTGCACAACTAACATCAAGATGATGTACAGATCAACATGTCCATTGGATTCTGCTCATGTCCTCAACTATAAAGTAGGAAACCAAATTTCAGGTTCCAGCTCTTTAAGGCAACCACTATCTGACTTTCTAGAAACTACTTAAGATTCCTATGCCTCAGGATTTTTATATGAAATATTAGGATAACGATACCATCCCTGTATGTTTCACAGAGTGGATGAAGGATTTAACTATTTTAACAGACTTGGAAAACTCTTGTTTTTGCTTTTCCTAGCCTCACTCCCTTCTCCTAGCATTTGGATGGTATTTATTCTCCTGTGTGTGTTTCTCCTCACCCTTTTCTTGCATTTGTAGATATTTCTACATGGTAACAACCTGAACAGTCTACATCAACTAATTCATCCCGAGATCCTGCCTTCTGAGTTTGGAGGAATGCTGCCCCCTTATGACATGGGAACATGGGCAAGAACACTGCTAGACCATGAGTATGATGATGACAGTGAATACAATGTAGATTCCTACACCATGCCCATGAAGGAGGTGGAAAAGGAACTCTCCCCCAAGTCCATGAAGAGGTATGCTGGAGGTGGCTGGGAAGTGGGCTGTAGCCAGTGTGGGAATGCCACAAGTGAACTCCTGGGTTTATACTTTTGGGGAGTATATATTCAGTGGGATTTTAAATCCTTTTATGCCCCCATGATTAGACGTCTAGGAATTCTGAGTCAAAGATAAAGTCATTCAAGGCAGTGTCAACTCAGTTTTGTTCCATGTTCACAGACAGTCTAACAAGGCTGTTAGGGATCACTAAATCCAGTGGTTTTTCAAACTGTACCCTCAGAGTTCTGGGGGAGTACCTTAGGCCTAGCAGGTGGGGTGGGAACAGTGCTCATCTCCACAATGAGAACAACTCTCCTTCTATCCAAGCAGTTTACTAGACTTTTGTATAAGATTTCATTTGAAGAAAGGGATCCATGGCGCGCGCACACACACACACACACACACACGCATGCACACACATTTCAAACTTATATTCTCTTTTTAGTATCTCTGCTCTGTTTCTGATTTAAAGGTCTAGCCATTCCTGAGGCAAAACATTCTATTTTCCTACAGCTTTACTCTTTATAAATTCATTTTTGAGTGAGGTTCTGATTCCTTGCTTTGACTCTCGTGGTACTTTTATGCCTGTTTTCTTTCAGTCAATGCAGGTTTATTGAACACTTACTCTGTAATAGGCACTTCCCTAGGTGTTTTGGATTCACTGTGAACATACACACCTCCAGCCATAGCTTAGTGGTGATGGAGGGCGGGGGAGTTGCTGAACATGCCCAAATGTATAGCTGCCTCTGACTTTGCATTCTGTAGCAAGCCAGAAGATACCTTATTCTCAGGCTCCCCCAGGCCATAGAAACCCAGAGTTCACTTGGATAATAGTAACGAATATTATTTCTCTGTTCATTTCCCATCACAGAAATATAAGAACCACAGCCCCTGCAAGTCTCTTTTCACCTGGCTCAGGGAGGACCAAGGCATCGCCCCTGTCATCCCTCACACTATCTTGCATCTTTCTCTGATGAAAACCAAGGGTCCTTTGGTCACAGTTGTGTTCATGCTGGGGCGCCACTGTTCTCAGAGTGGGCCTCCTGGTGCAGCTGCTGCTGTCGTTGCTACTGTTGTTGGTGTGTGTGATGTCCTCCTCTCCCCTGGCTGCTCCACGATGCCTTGGAGAGAAGGGAAAGGCTGGAGACATCTCCAGCTTTAATTTCTCCACCAATCAATAAGCAGGGGGAGGGGCAGAGGGAGAAGCAGGCTCTCCACCGAGCAAGGAGCCTGATGCGGGACTTGATCCCAGGACCCTAAGATCATGACCTGAGCCAAAAGCGGATGCTTAGCCGACTGAGCCACCAGGTGCCCCAGAATAACTTCCTTCTAATAAAAATAATAATCCTAGTTGTTGTTAGAATTTGCCATTTACTATGTACTTATCATGAGTCAGGCCCTATCTAGGTATCTTTTTCGTAACATTAATTTATTTTATCCTCACAGCAACCCTGTTAAACAGATGTTGTATCCTCAAAGTCACATAGTCTATGTGTAGTGGACTGGGGTTCCAATCCATGAGGTATAGAGTCTAATGTGTTGTTGACGTAAGCCTTCCTTGTCTACCCCCTGAGATAGCAGGACGTAGGCTGTCACTCTGGAACTAAGCTACATAAGGATTTGGAAACCGCTATGACTGGTGATCCCTGGTTTTTGCCTTTACCAGCTAACAATGCTTATTTCCTTCAACCACTTCTTCTGTGATGTGTTTGCTAATGTGGTTCCTTCCTCAGAGCACGTATCTCTCCATATCCTCCACATCCTGGCTGCATCCTATCACCTGCAATCTGCATGCCCGCACTCCTCCCAAACTTCTACCTGTGTCTTTGTCTCTACCCCCACCCTGCTCCCCTGGCCCCCATATATTATCCACATGGCAATCTAAAACATCTTTTAAAATCTAAGTCAGATCATTTCACTTCTCCGCTTTAAATTTTTTAATGACTGCTGATCATACAGTGAATAAAATAAATTCTGTAACATGGCTTACAAAGTGCTATATGATCTGATCCTGCCCCCGCATCCTTCTAAGTGTATCCCACCATCTCTTTCCTCCCTGTCTTTCAGCCATAATATCCTTCATTCTGCTCCTGCAGCCTCCCTCTCCAGCTTGTTCCTCTCTAAAGGCCTTTCCACGTGTCACGGCTGCATAGGATGCTCTTTTCCTGCATCTCCCAATCAAAGGTCACCTCCCTAAGAGAGTGGTTAAGTCTTTATCAACCATTAGGTCTTTTTTAAAAAATTTTTATTGTTATGTTAATCACCATACATTACATCATTAGTTTTTGATGTAGTGTTCCACGATTCATTGTTTGTGCCTAACACCCAGCGCTCCACGCAGTACGTGCCCTCTTTAATACCCATCACCAGGCTAACCCATCCTCCCACCCCCTCCCCTCTAGAACCCTCAGTTTGTTTTTCAGAGTCCATCATCTCTCATGGTTGGTCTCCCCCTCCGATTTCCCCCCTGTCATTCTTCCCCTGCTGCTATCTTCTTCTTCTTCTTCTTCTTTTTTTTCTTAACATATATTGCATTATTTGTTTCAGAGGTCAACCATTAGGTCTTAATCAACTCTACTTCCTCCTTATTCTGGTCACTCCCTATCAGTCACCTCTTTTATTTTCTGCCTGCCAAATGACTCATTTTATTTAACATTATGTTCCCTCCCCAAATTTAGGCTTCATGAAGACTTCAATGACTTTGTCTATCCCATTTTCTGAATCTCCAGTGCCTGGAGTAGGGCCTGAAACACAAAGGGTGCCCACTGGGGATCAGTGGAGTGAATGAAGGAGCGCTCTGCTGTCTGTCAGTGGCCCCTTTTAAGTCCAGTGTTCAGAACTGAGTAGGTGACGTCTGTTGCTATCACTACTTGCATCTAAGTTCCAGAACCCTAGCTTTGCCCTCACTGGCTTCTGTTGTTGCCTCTGTTGCTGTGGTTCAGGTAGCCACAGCACATTGCTGACTCATATTGAGCTCCCTAGCACTAGAAGGTTCTTTTACTTATAGATCCATGTCCTCATAATTCTCTCTTTCTGTGTTTAGCTTTTTCCTCTAAGCAGATAATTTTAATTGATTAACACGATCTTGTTAGATTTGGCTCGGTCTGTCCACCTTTTGAAGTCTTTTTGGATCCTGATTTTCCTCTCCAATTAATTAGGCCATTCTGTCCTCTGCAGACTTGGCTCACAGCACGTCGACCTCCCCAACCCTGAGTTTCTTGCTTCTGACATGGATTGATTAGAATTTCAGAAATCCTTTGTTTGGTGTAGGTTTTGTATCTTACGAAGCTTTTAGGGTTCTCTCTGAAAACTTATGAAGAATGAGCTTAAGAAAGTTATTTCATTTGATTCTCACCTTCTGTGTGTCAGGGAGTGGCAGCTCCCCATCAAGGATGGGACAGAATTGTTCCTAGGTTCCCCCCTGCTCTCCTTTCCTCCACTTTTCCCCCCAGTTTTGTAATATTGTTAGGTTGAGAGGAAAAAAAATCGTTCCTTCACCAGAGACTTGTAGATGTTTCCTCCTTTCGGGGGAATTTATCTAGATGTGTAGGAAGAAGACTTTGTTTTCCTGTGTTGATTTGTGGAGGAATGGCAGGGTCACATGAAAAGATACAAAGTTGTCGACTGTGGGGGCCTTATACTAGGGGAACCTCTTGTACCTTACATCTCTAGTACCTAGGATAGTGCAGTGAACAGCAGTATTAACATTGCCATGGTAATATGGGCTCCAATTTTACTGAATAATATTCAACATTTATTGTTCCTACCTGTCAAACTCCATCTAATGCTTTGTATATGTTGACTCCTTTGCTTCTGTAAACAACTAATCACGTAGTGCTATCTCCCTTTCATTGGTGAGGAGACCCAGATACAGAGAAGGTGAGTAACTTCCACATGGCACATAGGGGCAAAGTAGCACGGCTAATACTGGAAACCAGGCCCTAGGATTCTGTAAGTCATCTCCCTAACTGCTACCATTTGCTATCTGCCAGAATTTGTGCTGCGATTTATGCATGCATTATTGAATTTGAGCCTTAGTGTATCTGTATGATGTAGGTGTCATTTTTCTCCATCTTACAGTTAAAAGAACAAAATCTAGGAAGTTTAAATAGTCTCCTCCTGGTCACAAGAGCCAGCAAATAGCAGAACTGGAATCGGAATCCCCTTCTGTCCAAAAATCTATCCTCTTAAACACAAAGGTATAGCACCATATTGTGGATGCACAATGAATGAATAAATGATACCTGAATAATTAAACTTAAATGATTGGGTTTCATGAAAAGAAAATATAGGTTATTCATTGCAAAGACAGCAGAGGCTATGTGGAGACCGCTCAGATATGCTGTGAGTTAATGATAAACAACTCCTTCTACTGCAGCAGAAACAGACCAATGCATTGACAAGTCGTGGTCCTGTACAAATAGCGCTGTTGTTTTGGATAAGACAGAAAAAAAATCTGGACTAAAATAACAGTACATTTGGGACAATTAAATACCAAAAAAAAAAAAATCTTAATTGGAAATCATTTCTGCCTGGCTTGTTTTATTGAGGAATTATTCTACATATGGAACCAGTATTCATCATCCAACAATTCTGAGACTGGTCGTGCATGATAAAAGTGAACTAGGAATTTAATCACAGGTTGATAGTGCACTGTAATTTCAAATATTTTGTTAAAATCAGCATACCCTCTAATCATTTTTTTTTAATAGTCAAGGAACATAAGGATTTAAAAGATTGTGTGTGGGTGTGCATGCCCGTGTGTGTGTGTGTGTGTATATATTTTGCAAATGCTTAAATTGTGTGCTTTGTGCTGCCTGAAAAGTTTGGTGTGTACTGATTGATATTAATAGGATATACATCAACATTTATAGAATAAATCTAACTTTGTGAGAATTTTAAAACATGTTTTCTGTTAAGAGTTTCTTTTTTTATAGGATAAATTGCTTTATCTTTATTATTCTTGGTTTTAAATGCTTAATACCAAACTTCTTTCAGTATGGAAACTATTCCTTGGGTAGAATTTAAGATAGCTAGATTCAGTTGTGTAACAGACTCTGTGATATGCGTTGTGCTCACTGTAAGGAGAGAAACTGATGAAGTCCCTGCTCATGGAACTTGTAGTTAAGTGGGGACCAGCTGTCAACTTAATATTTCAGTACAGGACATTAACTGAAATTTTTTTGTATTTTAGCGTGGATTTTTCTTGGGAAACAATTTTTTTTGGTTGAACCTAAGTAAAATGGTGGTAAAGGTCTAATTCCTAAGTGTTTTGTGCAATTGTCTGCTGTGTTAAAATGCATTTTATTCATGAGATAAATGATTTTTCCTAGTATAAATTATCATTGCATTTAAAAATGGTACACAATCTTTTATTCCTCCTTCTCTTCTTTTCTCCCTCCCTCAACTTCTCTCTCTTTCTCTCTTTCGCTCGCTTTCACTCATCTGCTAATTCAACTGTAGTCGATCTCCTTTCTGATATAGACATACATAACCTATTATTGAGATAAAATAGTGAAAATGACTCAGGAACTAAAACGTTCCTGTTTTAATGTCCTTGCCTTCTTTCGTGTTCCCTCTCTAGAACCGAATTTAAGTTTATTTAAATGAATGAGTCAATTAATCAGTTAATCCTATAATTATTTTTGCTTTGATAATTAGTTCCATTGCTGTTCTTTTTCATTAGCATGTGCAGTTGTATTTTAGCTTATAGTCTTTCTTTTTGAGAGTTAATGAGGTTTGCTAAGAGGCATATTGCCACAGCAATAGCCAATTGGCTGGAATGCAACAGCAGGGGGAAAATTCATTACCGAGGAGAATTTTAAAAGGGCAGCTGCTTCTTTAATGCCATAGCTATTAAGAAAGCAGTTTCCTGCCATAACAGTAGAATGTTCCATTGACTTTCCTCCTTCCCAGTTTCATGTTGTTTCCTAAAGATGAATTGAGATATAATTCCCACCTACTATCAAAAGCGTGTATAAGGAGTCCAAATTACTTGCTCTCCTAATCAGAAAGTGCCATTCCCTATATAAGAGGGTTTTTTTTTTTAAAGTCTTAAATTGTTTCATGAAACTTTCCAGAGTAAGACTGATTTTATTCAGATTGTAGTGGGAAATTTAACAAAAATTCTCAAATTTTGATTTTTTTTTCTAATGTGGTCATTGGAAATAAAAAATGATGGTTAAAAAATGCACATTCATGTTGGATGTGTTTCATCGAGATCTTTTTTTAAAGATTTATTTATTTGTATTTATTTGAAAGAGATAGAGGTTGTACTTGAACTGGGGGAGGGGCAGAGGGAGAGGGAGAGAGAGAGAGAGAATCTCAGGCAGGCTCCATACCCAGCGTGGAACCCAGCACAGGGCTCTATTTCATCACCCTGCGATCATGACCTGGAGCCAAAATCAAGAGTCCTGGCTTAACCGATTGGGTCACCCAGGCGCAGATCACAGAGCTCTTTAAGACAGGAATTAAGACTCCTATCATTTCTGTTTCATTTCTCATAACAATAATTTCATTGTAATAATTTCCCGCTTGGAGATGTTCTGTTATCATCCATCTGTCCTCTACTATAAATTCTCACTCTCAAAAAAAAAAGACTTCTGATCAATTGTGAAGAAGAGAACTTAAGCTTATTATGGTGCATTTAGAATCCTTTGCTGCTCATTATTCTATTTAGAGCTCAAAGGGGATTGTTTTCTCCCTTTGATACAAAACCCACTGTAAGCATGTCCCTCTCTAAATGTGCAGCATTCTCAGTTCATAAATCTCTTGATGTAGGGAAGATAATCCACATCCATGACAAAAGTAGTAACGGACAATAGACAGAGAAAGGAACGTAATTATTTGGTAATAACTAACTGACACTGGCCTTATCATTTCCAGATCCCAATCGGTAGTGGATCCTACAGTATTAAAACGCATGGATAAAAATGAGGAAGAAAACATGCAACCTTTACTATCTCTGGACTGATAACTTCTCTGCACTCCCCATGGATTAGAAATGGAAGGTACTTGTTTTCAGCAACAGGGACAGCACTGTGGAGGAATGACCAGCTGGAAACTTATTTATTCATGTTAATGTAGCATAATATATAATAAGGCACTGGGTTTCCCATTTGCTTGAACCATGGGTGCCCTGGTCTGGAGTTAAAGAAAAAAGTCAATAATTTATTCTGTAAGTGCCAAGTTCTTTGTAAATATAATCTAATCCTCACATCAAGTTTGTAAACTTTGGTAGTAACTGAAATTGGAGAAGTTTGGCTCATGAGTCCATGCCAGTGATATGAACTATAACAAAAAACAGAAAAGACACATACATGATGGAAGCTAATTTAATGTAGCCCTGTTTCCTATGAAGCCATATTTTAGCTCTCATAGTGATTGTTTCAATGTTTTTCTCTGAAATTGTCATATTCCAATGTACTTTTAATGGACACAGGTAACTAGATGATTCTAGGAAATTAGTATGATAAATGTATTTCCTGTCTAGTAATTTTCATTTCACAGAAAATGTGTCCTAGTGACTATCACCGGCCTTGAATTTTGGAGACAAGGAATGGCAGAAGAGCTGGTAAACTAAACACTTGAACTCTTCTATGTTGTTTAATTCCTGGAGTCTTGTGAAACGATATGTTCCCCAAATTAAGATGTGGAATTCTAAGAGAGTGGATTTTTTTTTAAACTGCTGTCTTCATAATGTGTCTTTTATTTGAGATCCTATTGTATCCATGTCTGATGTACTTTAAGAACATTTTCCCCCCAAAACTCTTTGACCAAGAGAAAGAGAACTCATACGTGAATAGCGTTTTGACAACTAACTTTGGATATAAAAGTTGCCATGTACAGATAAGGGGCTAATTTCTAATTCTTGTGCACTGGTTGGAAATATATATATATATATATATATATATATTCACATGCACATATATATTTTTATTGAGTTCTAATAAATCCTTGATGTGACAGGCTTATAAAATAAATCATACATACTCAATGGTCTTAGAGATGTTATAAATAATTACGTGAGATGCTAACTCTGGAAAACTACTTCCACTAAAGTTAATGAAAATGAGGTATAGTAAAACATTTAGACTTTCAGTGAACCTGTTTTAAGGGAATTCTAATTTAATTTGTAATGCAATCTTGAATCTGTGTCATTTTAGTGAAATATATTTTTCCTTCACAAAACAACAGGTCTCAACATAATGTAGGCAGTATCAGGTGACCAAGAGTAATATAATTTCTCACAAATTCAAGGTAATTATCTTAATGATCCTATAAGTACAGATTTTCTTTTCAGAAAGGATTGAAAGAACATATTGCATCCATAAGACATAGTGAAAGCATCTGAGGGCATCTGAGATAGCATGTTATAGTTTAAATCTAGATGTGGAATCCTTATGTTAGTTTTCATTTCATAAAAATTCTGCAATTATAGCATATTTTAAAAATCTTACTTTAAATTTCAAATTCCAGTGTGAAAAAGCAAGATTTTTACCACCTTTTCAGAGTGGTAATTTTTGAGATTGAAAATTTACCGCTAAAATATTCTTTTGAAAGAAAAATATCTCAAGGAACTCTTGGAAACCAACAGAAATAAAGGCATGTAGCAGCCTTTATATACTTTTTAGGCAAAAGCTTCAAAAATTCCACTTACAATTCTATACCAAAACTCTTAATATCAAGATCAGTACACCAATCTGCAGTATCACGAACGGACTACCGGTGTTTGTAAAAATACATAAATATACATAAATAATATGATTGAAATATACCTTAAAAATGCCAACCTCAAATCAAGTCTGGAAGAATAACTGTCAGGCCCTCTGCTCTACCCATAAATATTATAGACATTGGAATGAATTGGGGATAAAAAGCTACAGCAACTCTTACCTTTGTAAGAACCCTAACCACAGGATTCTTATATTTTGGCCTACCTGACATATATTTGATAGTCTTGGACTTTATATACTATAGAAGCAAGTGTTAGGCAATATGATGCATTAAGATAAAACAGGAACAATGTACAGAAGGATGGTCAACTTTTCATTCTCATGTGTTCTCTTGATATACACCGTTTATTGCCAATTTTTAGAATTCTACCGGCTTCAGATGTCAACCAGCATAGCCAGCTTCTTTCCCTCTCATAAGGTTAGTGTCATATATAAAAATAACCAGAAGGGCATATTGTATGTGTATACCTATCTAATTTTAAGTATGATTCCCACTATCTCCCTTACCCAACATTTGGAAACTTTGCATCCTATTGCTGTGCGTCTGCTCTTCTTCAAACGAGCAATTGAGAGTTGGCTGCATTGTGTAAAATATTTTTAAATGAATGAACAAATTACAACAATGATGCCTTTTGAAATTGCTTTATCTAGCTCAATCTGTGAGCTCAATCTAGCTCAATTATCCAGGAATGTTTTTGGAGCTACTTAGTCAAAGGATATTTGGTCAGTTTTATAAATCTTCCTTTCACCATCGGCTAACTAGCACCATTTAGGGATTTTTTTTTCCCTAATGTAATTTCCTGTTATGTAGCTATGTCTATTGTCACATAACTTAGTAAACAAGCACTCCTATATGTCAATTTATTTGTGATAGTGCTCTCTCTTTCACTCTTTCTCTTTTGTGCATACATATGCGTGCATGCACATGGCTGTTTGCCCTAATGAATTTGCCTATTTTGAGATCCATGCTTTCCTTTTGTAGCTGTCTTGTTACCGAAAACATGTAGACATCAAAGGATTACCACATTTGATTTCGAACAGACCAGTAGTTCCTGCTTCTCTCACGCTGCCTGTTCGGCTCTTTCTTATATCCTTTCTTTCTTCCGTTGTTTCAGGGGCAGCTGCTTCCAAAGCTGGTTTAAAAATAAATAACTTTCCTTTTACTGTCAGTGATATTTGCACACATTTTTGCTTGATATCTTAGAAGGAAGAGATTATCATGAAAATACACTCTAAGAAAAATGAAGAAGTGCCTCTTTAAGAATGAGATAAAGCAGTGATGCTAGAATATGGATTCTATTTGTAGTCTCTTCTGAAAAGTAAATACATGCATCCAAATCATAAGGGTGAAATATGAGTATCATTTGAAGAAGGGTAGTTGAGGCCTTGCTTTGAACATTCCCGTACAGCATTAAGTCTTTATTGTGTCAGTTCAATACCATAACTTGAACACATTTATAAATCTGGCATTACGCTAAAACAATATACAGGTGTTTGCAAGGAAGTTTTTGAAGTGGGCATACATGATCTCTTTTATTTCAATAATAGTTTGCGTAGTATAGGCAGACATTCCTTAAGTCTTTTCACAGAGAAAGCTTGTTTACTTGACAGGACTGAAAATTCATACATTCATAAGCAGGAAAGCCAAGCAACTAGGTTCTCTTTAACATTGTTAACTGGGTCACATTGTTAAATAAAACATTTGAAGTTTCTGTAATATTCCTGAGGGAGCAGAGGTCCCTCTGATGCATCAAGAAAATGAAGCACTGTCTTAGACCTCGGGGAACATGTTTATCACTCACAAAAAGAAACCCTTAGAGCCATGGCAGTGTATCTTCAGAAACCGACTTCCTTTTCTTCTCCAAACAACTTAAAGGTTTATAGATATGTCTATGGTCCTTTAGAGAAATTCTATCAAGAAAATCTGCTGTGAGGCTATGTAATCTTCTGTTGTTTTATCTAAATGTCTAACTGGTCTGGTTAATACCTTTTTTGGTTATTTTGTCTGTATTTATTAATGGTTACTTGAAAAGTTGCCATCAGCTATGAGGACTTTTTAGAATGATTGTCAACACACAAAATAAAAAGAGCAGAGCTCTGGCATAATATTTGAATTTTCAGATACAGTATCCATATTTTTTACATCACAAAGCTCGTAGGCCTATATTCCATTTAAATATGCTATATAGATATATGGCCTAAAAATAGTGGTGCATTTTAAATTTATGAGGCCATTAGATCATGTAAGAATCAGCAAGTTGTATAAAATATATTGGCACAAAAGTAGAAGATTGGCTAAATATTCAGAATGTATAATTATCTACAGCAGTGAAAAGGATTTGTTTTCTTCTTTGTTTTAGTTGAAAAAAAACCTGATTTTCAATATGCAGTTGGAACTATTTAGCACTACTTACTATTTGAAAGGTGACAAATAAGTAAGAATACAAAAGGAGGCTTGACTTTGAAACATTATTATATCATGACCTTAATGGCTTAGAGAACATAATTTTTCACAGATTCAAGTTTTAATTTGATAAATATCCATAGGTTAACCTCACACATGGAGATACTGTTATGAAGTCTATTCTGTGATGAGTGTGGAAATTTATTCCTTTGGATTGTGGAGAAAAAATGTACAAGAGCAATTCTGTGGATTGAAATAGCCAAATTGTACTATTTTTCAAAGATGGAGGATGCAAATGATACTGTTGAAATTAAAACAAAAAAATAAGCATAGATTATGCACTTTTATAGTAGATAGTGGACATTGTTACAATGAAGAAGGTTGTTTGGTCAGTATTGGACTTAGTTTCAAGTTTCAATACAAATATTTGTGTCCTTAATGGTATCAATATCAATGCATTTATTCTGTCAAAATAACTTTTTTCGTGGATGAGAGGGACCTAGATGAAATCAAAATAAATGTTAATGGAACTTTTAAGAGTGAACCAATCCTCAATAATTTTAAAAAATTGCAATGGGTGAAAGCTGGTTTACATACAACAGAGATTCAAAGCATTGTCTTATTTCTAATCCAGTGTTCAGTTTTCAACTTATTTAAAAGATAAATAAAATTCCAAAACCAAGTAGTTTTTGTTTTCAAAACTGCTCAGAAAAAAAACAAGATGTCTAAGAGGTAATTATACAAGTCCTTGATAAGAATACTAAGCACACTGTTTACTATTTGAGGGAGCTATTCATTCCAATACAATAGGATAACTGGCATAATATAATTTTTGAATAAGTATACATTTCTGCTTTTAAAAAAGCATTCATTTTGCACATGGGGAATGTTGAATTTGGTAGTATTGGATCTGTTGACCTGTAAAATGTAAATTTCTAAAATGTCATCTAAAAATGAACAATAACTTTATTTTTTAAAGAAATTTTAGTGAGCTATTTAGGTTAGAATATCTGAGATTTTTCTGACACGTCTATGTTTGGAGCTTACAGGGGAAAAGGAATTCATTCAATCAAAATGTCATTTTTAATATTGTATGACTTTTAGACAAGATTTCAAAGGATAGTTTGAATGAAGAAGTAAATCAACGTTTAAGTTGCATATAGCAATGGGAATGATCAGTAAATAACATTTCACTCTTTGTGTGGAGTGGCATTAAAAAAATAAAATAAAGTTATGGCATTAGACATAAATTCAAAATTATAAAAAAGCATTGATTTAAATAAATTCTATTAAAATACCCCATTTCAAAATGTTAAATAAAATAAAATTATTCAGCCTGATTTGAAAAACATGATTAATAAATATACATTTGTATCTTCTGTGAGTTTCCCTCATTTAACCTACCTGTAGATGAAAAGTCATCTAATGAGGGAAAAGAGACATTTACCTAGAACCCCTTTGGTAGACTTTATGACTTTCTCTGGCTCGAATGCAGATGACTTCCCTATATACAGCTTTTGAGGTTATCAAGAATCATTATTGCCGCCTCTTTGTGAAACCATGTCAGGAGGAGGCTATGTTTCTAGCAGCTACTGAAGAAGCATCTTGAGTGGGAATAAACCCAGGGCAATCAGAGCATGCGTAAAAAGCCAGAGATATGGAATTCACTCCTCACTAAAAAGTGCATTAAAGTGTATTAAAGTGTACATGCAGAAAATGATTTCAAAATTCAAGGATTTCTGATATCAAGAGTTAAATACTTGGCCAATAAAAAGAGTCCATGAGGACATGATGGTCAGGGCTCTGATGTGTATTCTATCTTCACACTGCAACAACATCAGAAACCCTGTCTCTGAATATCACTT